ACTACAGTACTCACACGTGCTTCACAGCATGTGTGTTCTACTCTGTGCGTTAGTATTTGGGGTAAGTGTGCTTAGTGGGTAGGTTTTTGTGAGTGGTGGAGTTAGTGACAGGGTAATCGTTAGTGTTAGTGTGAGTGGTACGGTTAGTGAGGTATGGGTTAAGATTAGTGTAAGAGTTAGCAATAGGGTTAGGATTGAGTTAGTGGTGACGTTAGGATGAGTATTGGTGTGATGGAATTCGGGGCTGTGGTTAATGCAGCTATTGTCTGAGCAGACTCAGGCCATCTCCTACCACCACTACCAACACACGGACACACAGCCCGAGTACTAACACACACGGCACTGGTCACAGCCCTACCATAACAAAGACACAGATCCACCGTATAGCCTGCACAGCTTATTGGGGCAAGTGCTGTTAGCGAGCACCTATGAAGACCGGAAGAGCACACGAGGGGGTGGGTGGCCAGCACCACGCCCGGCCGCCTTTGTCTCCCCAAGTGGCGATGTTTACACACCGCACCAGGTACTCGTTTGAGGATGAGTCGACCTCGGGGTAGCCCATGACCGGGTTCAGATAGTCGTCATTGGCGTTGTCCGTGAGCGACTTCGCTGTGCGTACGCACACAAACAGCACTGCTCCCAGCACAACCAGCAAACCTCAGAGGGGTTGGCTCCGGGGCTCGCGTAGCTGCGTGGCAGCAGCCTATCGTTCATTGTGTATACTGCAGTCGCTCGTGGTAGAGGTGGTGGTGGTGGAACACGGCGTGCCTGCTGGGGGTTGCGTAGTACTGCAACTTGCAGTACACCCCGCGTGCTGTCGCTACAGTCGACGCGACGATGCGAGGCATGAGCGCTTGTGATGAAACGGGCGTGGAGGGCGAGTGGTATTATTTGGCTGCTATACATTTCCAGCTTTCATTTGCGGGCCAGGTCGCTTCAGAAAAGGAAGCTGATAGCTCAGTGGGCTTTACCTGGTAAAATGGATAAAAAAATGTTTTATTTTAGATTTTTTTTTTAAAGTGATTTGTTTTCCATTACTTTGCACTCCTATCATGTTTTTTGTATTGTTTGTTGTAACTCTCTGACCCGCCCCCACTGGACATCTGTGAAAAAAAGATGTATAGCTCATCGGATTCCTGCAGCAGAAATGATTGCGATTCTGAAAAGATAAAGATGCTGAGTGTTATCAGCCAATGGCCATTTCATGCATTACCCTCCACATTTATACAGAACATATGCGTGACGAGTGCGTGTGGTGTCCGCACGCCGGTTGAAATAGCAATGCCCTTGACCCAAGAGAAACTCAATGAGACTCAAGACTCCTTTTTCAGGAGGGTCCTGCCACATTGGGGTGTTTGGCCAATCCCATTCACGAGAGTTTGGATTTGAGTGGAAGCAAGCGGAGGAACGCAGAGACAGCCAGCCCACCGTGCGTACGAAGGCGGGGAAGCACTCACAGCTCCGCACAGACAGATTCAAGAATCCATGACTGCACTGCCATCTGGCCGCATATCGTGCGATTACAATTACGGTGCGTGTTAATCGGGAGTAATGTTGAACGTGGTGGTGGTGTTTGGTTGGTTCTGGGGGTTAAGAGTTATCGCTGGAGCATCATCATCAACCACCAGCAGCAGTAGCAGCCCCTCGTGGCGGTGAGGCCCCTCCGCGATCCGCTCACCACGCGACTCCTCCACTCATCCTCACCACGCGACTCCTCCACTCGTCCTCACCACGCGACTCCTCCACTCGTCCTCACCACGCGACTCCTCCACTCGTCCTCACCACGCGACTCCTCCACTCGTCCTCACCACGCGACTCCTCCACTCATCCTCACCACGCGACTCCTCCACTCATCCTCACCACGCGACTCCTCCACTCATCCTCACCACGTGACTCCTCCACTCATCCTCACCACGCGACTCCTCCTCACCACGCGACTCCTCCACTCATCCTCACCACGCGACTCATCCACTCATCCTCACCACGCGACTCCTCCTCACCACGTGACTCCTCCACTCATCCTCACCGCGCGCGGTGACGTCAGCGCGCTCCACGCGGGGGTTCTCCGCGGTTCGCTATTGTGGGGCTGTAGTGTGCGCGTGTGTGTGCGCGTGTGTGTGTGTCGCGAACACGCTTCACGGTATCGTGCGATATCGGGGAAGGTGGCCGTCCGAACCGACCCGGCTCGGCACTGCGCTAATTATTCGTGGCTCAACGTTGCCCTTGGGCGAGCGTTCCCGCGGCTCGCTCGCGAGTATTCGTTCTGTTTTCGTTCGCTCCAACGGGGGAACAAAAGCGACGCGACTTGGGCTCCCGCGTGCGCACGTTTTTTTGTTTCGGACCGAGAAAAAAAGCGTCGAGTGGCGCGTGGCTATCGCTTGGCGAGCCCCGGGTGGATAAACGCGTGCAGGGCAGCGGTCGTTCTCGACATCGCAGTGCGCACGGAACGGGACGGACCCTCCTCTCTCGCCCTACAGTTGCTTCTGCCGGCCCTTGGGTGGGGGGCTCCCGGCATCACAGACGGCCGCTTACGGAAACACTCAGAACATTGGGGAGGGGGGGGGTGCAACTGCAATAAGCGAAGCGTTCGAGTTTCACCCCCCACCCCCTTCTAAAACAATTATTTATATAATTCCACTCCCCCTACGAAGCACACCCCCTAACCCTGTTACTGACATTACCCCCTAAACCGAACACTATCAATTACCCAGTCTCAAATCCCGTTATGGCCGTTAATGGGATTGAAATCCCCAACTAATTGGAGTGGTAATTACACGCACTGATCCTTGCGTCCTTTTTTCGTTCCAGCGCACACCAACCCACGTGTGCGCGCACGCGTGTACACACGTGGCTTGTGTCCGCACGTGCATGTATGTGTACACGACAGGTTCTGAACGAATCCACCGACTGCCCGATCGAGGGGATTCGTGTGTTTGGCCAGGTGAACGCCCATCGAGCAGTTAATACTAATATTATATGCGCGAATAATTATCTTGACAATGTAAATTGGTAGAGTTTGATGTTTTTTCTTCTTTTTCGCATATGGTATTGTGTTCGGGCGTTTCAATACAATGCAATGACAATTAAATGTATACATAATGGTCAGCTCCTGCAAACCGAGTGCCCGTTTAGAATTAACAAAAATCACATACATACATGCACCGCAGAGGCAAGTGTGTAAGATACACTTTAGTGTATTGCAACTCATCGATTTCCGCGTATACAACATAAACGGGGCTATAGATTTACATATCAATTCCTGCATGGGGTTATGTATTAAAGGGGCTCTATAGACTCGTATCTTGTATAGTATGTACACACCAGCTTATCACTCATGAAGTTTGTGCACTCGTCGATGTACATTACGACTTGCTGCAATCACCAGCCTGCTTGTACACGTCCAGTCTATACGGTGGTTAAGCACTGTGCGTCCATCTCTCTCGGTCTCGCTTGTAGAGTCGTCGTGTGCTGGCGCTCTCGTATTGATATTTGACAGCTGTGATGCCACGTATGGAGATGATCGATCCGTCATTGCCTCCGTTAGTTAATGCACAAAGTAAGCATGTGCAGAGGGTTGTCTATGGGGTTATGTGTATGCCATAAAGTTATATGATGTACATCTATAAGCTATATACTGTTTGGGTCACAGTCTGCATGTCAGACAGGATATCCAGTCTGTTATATAAAGACTGGATAGACTATAGGGTTACGTGCATGTCGATATAAGTTATTGATTATTGACAGTATTGTATAGATTACGATTGAGCTTCATACATGGACACTAAATACTGGCATGCACACGTCATATGTATTACAATGTTTAACATGTGTTCACCTATAGGTGATAACGTTACACACGGTATATCAACATGTATACTGTTATATACTGTACATGTCAATCCACTTTACACATTGGGTGACTGCATTTACAACACAGGGTGCATAGGTATGGTTATACACATACACGTGAACAGGTTAGAGATCAAACGACAGGGCGGCGCTCATTCCACATTCCTATGACGGGGGTAATGTATTCCATATAACGACCAAAAGAGTCACTCTTTCGAGGACTGTATGCACACCACCATCTGATAGGGGTCAGGCAGGATATCCTTAATAGGTTAACATCTTGATTCCGCATTCATCTTCATATACTGTCTTACCACACACACACACGTACAGAGATCTCCGGTATATCATATTGGCAGACTTAACACGGTAAGGACTGTTGTTAGTGAGCACCTATTAAGAAGCCATGACAAGCTCACGAGTGGATGTTGGAGCTAGAGCCACACCCGCGCCGCCTTTGTATCCCCAGTGCTGATGTTACACCGGTACCAGGTACTCCTTTAAGGGTGAGTCGATCTAAGGGGGTGGGGTGGACAATGACCCACAGATCCGGAGCTCCCAAGTCACCTTTAACCAGACTGTTGGGGGGGAAATTCTACTAGCGGGGTGGTGTGGCGAGAACCCACACTCGGCCGTCTTTGTCTCCCTAGAGTATGGTGTTGACCCACACCGTACACCAGGCATTTACACGCACACACGTCCAGACGCACACACGTCCAGACACACACACGTCCAGACGCACACACACACGTCCAGACGCACACACACACACGTCCAGACACACACACAGTCCAGACACACACACGTCCAGACGCACACTGCACACTACACACGTCCAGACGCACACACACACGTCCAGACGCACACACACACGTCCAGACGCACACACACACACGTCCAGACGCACACACACACACACGTCCAGACGCACACACACACACGTCCAAACGCACACCCAGACATATCCAAAAGCGCGCGCCGCTGTTGTGATCCCACGTGGCGGCGCACTGACACACACGCACGCCCCCCCCCCCACGTGCGCGCTGACACACACACATACGCGCGCGCGCTGACACACACACATACGCACGCGCCCTGTGCGTGTGTGCGTGAGTCAGTGCGCGCGCGCGTGTGTGTGCACGTTCGCGCGCGCGCGCGACCCAGCATGCCGTGCGCGTGTTCCCGCGAATTCGCGTCTGGCTCGGGGCGGCAGAGACGGGGCCCATCGCTCCCTCCTGTTACACACACAGACACACACACAGAGAGACAGACACACACAGAGACAGACACACACAGAGACAGACACAGGGAGAGACGAGACGCGCAGACAAGACGGGCAGAGATACACAGAGGGAGAGGCAGGGACAAGGTGACCGCGAGTCGCACCGAGGCAGGCTGAGGAACACGAACAGGGAAACGCGAACGGAGGAGACATCGGGGGCAGTGCAGGGAAGAGACAAGAAGACACGAAGACAAGGAGACAGACAGGGGGCAGACGAACAAGGATATACATACAGAGAGACGTAGTAAGAGAGAGAGCCAGGGACAGAGAGACACACGTGAGACAAGGGGATACGGGGAGACACAAGGAGAGAGAGAGACCTGAGACCAGGGAATCACACAGGAGAGCTAGGACAGGGAAGATACGCACGGAGGGAGAAACAAAGACAGAGGGAAATAAAGGGTTAAGACAAACGGCGGAGAGATAGGACAGACGGACACACGGACACTGTCAATCGGAGGGACAGATGCACATGTTGGGGTGAAGACACAACGAGAAAGACAGCCGCTGAGAGACGGACAGAGCCCATCAGTGGCAAGTGAGACAAACATTGACAGTGAGAAGGAGAGACGGGAAGAAACGCACAAAGACAAAACTCTGAACAGGAAGTGATAGATGCAGTGACATAGTACAAGAGCGCAGAGACACGCGAAGCAGCAGGAAGTGATAGCGAGCGGAAGACATTGGGAGGGAGACAAAACCGTCGGACACGTAGCAAGAGGGACAAGAGGGACACGGGGACAGACAAGAGAGGCAGCCAGCGACAAGGAGCAAGCAAGACGAGAGGGAAAACAGGCCGGGGTAAGCACAAGACACGAGGAAGAGACACGGAGAGACGTGAAGTTACAGGACAGACGAGGAGAGGGACAGACAGAGACTCGGGCAGGAGGACCTCTAAACCTTGACCTATTCCGCTTCTCGTGCGATCGAGCATTGTCGTGAACTGGACCCCGATATCGAACCGCAGGGAGAGAGCGACCGCCCACCCCATCCTCCTGCTCCTCGCCCCGCCAGCAGCAGCAGCAGCCAGACCCCCCCCCCCCCCCAGGCAGGGTCGGTCTCCTCGCAGTCACTCGACAGCTCTCGCCGTCACCACCACCACCAGCTTCTGCCTCCGCGTCCATCATCACCACTACCAACCACCGTAATCATCAGCACAACTCCACCGCCTCGTTAATCATCAACACAACTCCACCTCAACAACTTCACCACGACAAAAAACTCCACCACCACCTTAATCATCAGCACAACTCCACCACCAGCACTACAACTCGACCACCACCACGTTAATCATCAGCACAACTCCACTATCTTAGTCATCGACACAATTCCCCATTAATCATCACAATTACACGTTAACCAGAAGTACAGCCCTACCGCCTTCTGTCGCCACCACCCATCCCTTCCCCTCTCACCACCGCCGTTTCTTAACACCACCGACTCGACTACCACCTCACCTCCACCAGCTCCGTCGCCGTCCTATCACATCATCATCCCCTCGTCGCCATCACAACCTCCACCACCTTCCATCCTGAAACACTTTCGTCCACCACCACTACCTTCAACAACTCCACCGCCACGATCTGCGCCACCATCACCACCCACTCAATCGAGTCCACCACCATCATCACCATCCCTTCCACCATCTCCACCGCCTCCACTACTTTCAAAGCTATCGCTACTCCCATCAGTCACCGCCGCCTTCACCCCCTCGATCACCGCCTCCTCCGCCTCCTCCACCCCCCACCTCCCGACCCCCGCGGTTCGCACGGCGCCCCCTCTCGCTCGCCTTCACGGTGCCCCCCCTCCCGCTCCCTCCGTCTCCCCCCTCGTCTCCGCCGCCAGACCGTGAGGAGGAGGAGGAGGAGCAGGAGGGGAGAGGGAGTCGCGCTCCGCGGGAAGACGAAGCAGCAAGCAGCAGCAGCAGCATGGCCCCCAACAAACACGCCAACGGCAAGGCCGCCTCCTCCTCCTCGGCCACCGCCTCCTCAGCGCTCGCCTCCTGCAACAAAAAGGCCAGCATGGAGCAGATACAGGCGGACCACGACCTCTTCATGCAGGCGTTTGAGAGTGAGATTCGGGCTCGGGAGACGGGTAGAGGGAGGGAGGGGAGGGAGGGGAGGAAGAGAAGTCGGTCGGTCGGCACCCCCCCCCCCCCCCCCCCCGAGTCCCCCGCGGGCCCGCGCGTTGCTTCGCCGGCCGGCGAGGCCAGGCGAGCGCGAGGCTCGGCGTCCGTTGCCGGGCCCCTGTGCCGAGAACTTGAAAAACGCGGGGACGACTCCCGCCTCCTGCTCATGGCTCTCGCGGCTATCTTTCCACTCGCCTCTTGCTTGCACTCTTTCCCTCTCTGTCTTGGCCTTTCCCCACTCGTCTTCTCTCGTCTCTTTTTCTCCCCTAGCGCCTCCGTTCTCTTGTATTTACCGTCGATTTCTTTCCCGTAACCTCCTTTTTCTTCCCTCTCTCCACTCTGCTCTTGACTACTCTCTCTCTCTCACCGGTTCTCTCTTTGATCGCCGAGAAGCTTAATGATTCTCGTGTGCCTGTATGTGTTTAAATTTTACATAAACACGCGCGCATATGTATCACGAAACATACAACAACAACGCGATCCGATTGTGGGAAAAGCTCTAGGCTGGCGGGGAGGAGGTCGGGCGGTGTATAAAGAATGTTATTACATTTAGACCTTGTGAGTTTGTGATTGATGATGGTGAATGTTGTTGAAGACTGGTGGTGGTGATGATGATGGTGGTTGTGCGGTTGAGAGTTGAGCCACTGCGGTGCTGTGTTCGTCTCACCACGGAATGGCCCCGTTCTTTTGTCTATCGCTTGTGTGTTTGCGATGGTGATGATGGTATCGTGATGATGATGGTGGTGGGCGAGGGTTGGGAGGCTTTGCTGCGATGGTAGGTAGTGGTTTAAAGTGAGTGGTCGAGTATCGACGCTGTACGTCTCACCCCGCCACCCACCCTGGTTCTTTTGTCTATCACTTGTGTGCTTGGGATGATTATGATGGTGGCATGAGGATGATGATGTTGAGTGTTGTTAAAGACATGATGGTGGTGGTGGAGTGGCTCTGCTGTTGCTATTCGCGTCTCGCCACGAAGCGGCCCCGGTGTTGGTTCTTTGTCTTGCACTTTGTGCTGTAGCCGTGGCGAGACGGGCCCGCCGCGTCCCGGCTGCCTCTCGCCATTTATTATTTCATTCCACATCCCTCCGTGCTAAAACATTCCGTGCCTTGAGGTTACGATGTCGATGTGGTGGTGGTTGTTGTTGTTGTGGGGGTTGGGTGGGCTTGGGATATTTTTTTTTGTTTTTGCTCGACACGAGGGCCGTAGAGAAATTGCGGTGCCAGACATGGCTCCGCGTTTGTTTGTGTAACGTATACACATTCACACGTGTATACACACGTACGTACACGCGCACGTACACACAGACGCGTGCACACATACGTTCACACACGGTCTACGCGCGTCATCACGTGTATTCACGTGCGCGCGCACGTTCACATACGTGCGCACACGTACTCAAGTTCACACGTCTACACACATGTCTACACGTGCGAACACGAAAACATGCGAACATGAATGAACACGTGTACACACGTGTATACGCGTGTACGCACGTACGTACACACATGCATACATTCATAAACACATGAATGCACAGAATGTATATACATGCGTACACATTAATCCACATACGCGGTTTCGCGCGCACGCACATGAATGCACACAATGATGCACAACTCATGGGTACACAATGCGCACAATTTGCATTTGCACCGGTACGTACATGCATAGACATTAATGTACGTACATTAATGCACACAACACACCGATGCGCACATACACGTGCACGCATTCATGCATTATGCATAATGTATGTACATAGACATTCATTCACACATTCGTCGACACGTACGCATGTATTTCACATTACCCAAGCCATACACGTTCTAACACAATATACACATTGGCATGATAATCCTTTAAATATCCATTTACATGTTTTTATACACTGTTCCTGCAATACACCCGCATTGTAATTGTGTACACACAGAGTATACACTCAAAGCGTTAACTTGCACGTACACAGTGTGACATGTTCACTGCTATATGTCCATGCAAAAGACGATCAGTAGTCTTCACATATCTCGTGATTGTTCGTGACACAAGACAGATATAGGGTACACGACGTGTGTACACGTGCATTGGTACAGGCCACGCAGTGCACAATGTGTAGGCAGTATATGCAGGACATACACATGCGTGTACTACAAACATTCACACGTGTGTATTCTAAACAAACACAACGTGCACACCCAAAATAACTTAAATACTGTACTGTACATACCATGCACCAGTAAGATCCGCTGCTTATTCTCGTGTACGCATTTAAATCCGCTGCGTTTGCACGCCAACACAATGTTAATGCACAAACACATTACACATGCAATTGGGTTGACATTAGTTGAAACGCATTGTACACAAACACATAGATATATTCAAAAATCACAGGAAACATTTTCTTAATATTTGCAGAATGTTTACACGTACCATGTACAAATGCATTGTAAAATGTATGCATATGCACTATACGTAGCAGACAAAATAGACATTGTATTGTCCAAAACGTTGCAAATAGTAGCGCAAGGTATTTATATTTCCCCAAACGTACACAATTTTCACACGCAAGCAAAGGTTTCGTTTCGTATACACCTGTATAGGTGTGTACGTGTGATTTAATATTGACACATCTACCCATGCGTCTGTAAAGCGTTCATATATATGCAGCCTCCATGGATATATCGTTCAATTCATATATGTGACATGTACATGTAGCCATACATGCCATGTAATAATACGTGTATACACACGTGCATATATGCACAGCAAGTAAATCTAGTTTACAGACAGATGTAAACATATGAATGAGTGGACATGTCCACACAGGTGCACACGTGCTCACACATCGGTGCAGAGATTGCCAAAGTACAAACAAAATGTTCACCTCGCCACTTAACGAAATAACGTACTCCGTTTGCAATTAAGCTTAGTCCTATCAGCCATAAACATACTTCAGTGTACAGACTTAAATCTGCATAGTGCCATTTCAAATAACCTGTTACAAATACAAGGGTACATGTATGTGTATTTATATACACATACATATATATGCGCGTGTATATACATGCATACACACATACAATGTTAAAACGAGCAGGTAATTTTCCTGATACATGGCAAGAAAAAAAACCTGAGTAGACGTTTCGGGCCACTGCCCTTACTCAGGAGCCAGCAGCAATTACGCTGCCCCCCACATACACACGTTCACATAAATATCCACACGCCGCCGCCACCACCACCACGTTCTCTTTGGCAGTAAGCTCGCCCATTTTGTCATCATCGTGTATCGTCATGAAATGCAGTCGCCTGTTTGTGAACTTGCGAGAGAGGCATTGCGGGTGCAGTATTTGATGCAGTCTACGTGCGTTGTGCAGCACTGGATATAGATGGAGCCTGGCTACTAGCTAGCTATAAGCTAGCCCTGCCCCCAAAACGAACACATCGCGAGAAAAGTGAACGGGGGGGGGGCGGCTTGTGCCAGGTTAACTGCTGATCGCAGCACGAGCGGGATAGGCAGCGTCATTGGTGGTGGTGGGGTGGCTGTATCCACCCTATCTGGCAACACTTGTTCTTGGAATTGGTGGTCTAAGAAATTTGATGAATTCTCCAACAAGCGTAGCACGCCAAGCTCGTAAAGTCATACTTTTGTGTGAGCATCTGCAGTTTTTTTGCTGCGCATACAACACATCCTGTGTGCTTTACACCGGAGTACAGGTAAACACTGTGAGGTGTGGACCCCTGCTATAAACAGGTCCTTTAAAAAGGTGACAGCAGACTTATGTTGTACGTCTGTTTTACACGCAACATATGAACGCGCGTTTAAAGCATGCAAGTCCACTGAGATGGCGATGTCTCTGAAGGATGACCTTACAATTTTTATTTAAAGTAAAAACAAATCTCAGTTCATGGGAGGAGGATATTAAATGTAATTGTGAACCGTATTATCAAACAATTGCAAAACAAATGGCTTAATAACAACGAGTACATGGCCCTTAGAGAATTTTACATTGTACACAATTGCATGGTGTGTGTGTGTGTTTTAAGCTGTCTGCATTTAATGTTTTCCCGTGAACATGTCAATGTTTTATAAAAAATATTTCACTTCACACAACGTGTTGTCGCGCTATTGGTTACTCACACACCGTGTAGGTACATGTTCTTTGTGTGTTCTGTTGTGTAAACACAACCATAGAGTGTACATGCACACGCATCAAGAATGTTTATGCATGTGTAATTGTACAATAATGTCTTATCTTTTGGCCTGATTGCTTTTTTTGCAGAGCCAACTCAAATTTACCGCTTTCTCCGGACAAGAAACCTAATAGCGGTAAGTGCACTCGGACGCACATTCACCTGGCGACATAACCCCAATAATTATCTATGTTTGTTTGTAACGCAGACTTTTTTCTACTGATGATCCATTGCCAAGAGTGAGACGTGCAATTGAAACGCGTGGTGTATTTTTAGGAGAGGTATCTTTGGTTTGTCATGCTGTGAGCACTAGACTGAGTCGTGCGGCACAATCCTGGAAAAACTGAAGACAATCCTTGGCAACTTCTCATTGTTTAATGATCGTGTCCCAGAGTTTTGCCCACTGCTTGTGAAGCGTACCTTTATATTGTTAATTGTTTCGTTACGTTGTGGCATTGGGGCTGAATGCTCTTTGCGCCCTATACGTTATTGAATGTTGCTGGACGTTTGCTCGCAGACGGTGCCTTCATGGGGGATGTTGTTATCTGGAAGAGCGCACGTATATTTTTTCCTGCCCACAAGGCACGGATGAAGTGCTCTGGTTATGTTGACGATTCCCTATCCGTGTTTCCGAATAAGGCAGAAAGCATTTCCCAGTTTTCTCCCACACTCAGGCGTGGACCAACCTGCTAATGCCATAACCACCCTTTTGGTAAACTTTGGCCATTCCTGGTCTATTCAAGGTCTAACCGTGATGTTGTCTCACTTAGTTTGCTCAAGAAGATGTGTCCCATGTGAAGGCATGCACTTTCACCATTCTAATAGGAAAATCTCTGCGTGTCTCTCTGTTTCCAGCCGATTTTTTTACACAGAACTCTGACCTACATGCCTCATAAAAACTCCAAGTCAACCAGCGAAAAAAGGTACGTCACGTCAAGTGACTGTTATTTTGCGTTTGTTTTGTTTGCTCGGAGTAGCCGGCTGGCCGCAGCTGCTGGAGTGGATGCGGTGCTTCGTTTACATTTTGTGTAGGTGGCCGTGCGCTCATGCACGTTACATGCCAGATGGTGATAAATATTCAAAATACATTATCCAAAAAAAGGTTACGTGTGCCCTGATAAAATAATGTACGGGAGTGATTTTATATCGCGGTAAAGAATGCTTGTTTGCTGTTGTTGTGACAATTCAGATGGCAAACAAGTTGTCTTGTGTCCTTGGTGCCACAAACACATTCTAGTACAAGATCATTTTTTAAACAATGTGCGTAAACATTCTGGTCACGTATTATTATTGGGCTAAGAACGGAAAGATAAGTAGGATATTGGACAAAAGATAACACGTGCAGATGTTGTTTTGTGGTTGAGAGTGTCGCCGATGTTCAGGTGATGTTCAGGCGGTGAAGGGCTGTTTTGTTTATGCCTAAATTCTATAATGCCAGTGCTGCTCTGAAGTTCGGCCTTAATAATACATGGATTTACATGCACATGTAAGAATCGGTAATGTTCTATTTGTATATGTTGCATGTAATGCGGTTTACATGACCCTTGCTGCAGCCGCTAGATTCGCCATGTTTACTCTCGAATCCAATCGCGAGCCCGAATCGTGACGATTGATCAAATCTCCAGGGGGGTGAATGCATCCGGGCTTTAGTGTTGCTGCACTAAATTTATGTGCATTTAAAATCTTAATTTGCATACACACCGCTGCATGCTGCTCTCTTTGTAAACAAAGTGCTTAAAATACGTGTGTATTATAACCGCGAACAAGCACGAATATGATGCGAAATTGCAAACAAATTTGAGTGGAGTGAAGGTATCAATTGGTGTAAGTGCTGGGGTTAGTTAAAAATATAATTTTCATGATGTTAAACAGTTCTGCTGACTGAATTCCCCCCATCAAAGAATATCTTCGTAGCCTCCTGTGTTCTTTGGCGAGCAGCGAGGTAAACATGCACATAGTTTCGTTTTGCAGATAGAGCCGCGGAAAGCCTCTCGTTTTATTGAATGCATTTTTTATAATTATTTCTAACAACGAAGTCCGTTTTCCCACCTGCAAAACTGCATGTATTTTCGTCTGTGCCCTTGAGATGGGATACGTGTCTTGGCTTTCGTGGATTCGACTCATTCTCCACAGAGCTGTCGGAACCTAACGGGACCTTGGAAGGCGAACCTTTGGTCCGACCAAAAGGTTTTCCAGGGTCACATAGCAGACCTGATCTCTGCTGTTTAACATTTGAAAACGGTCATTTATCTTCCCTTTCTTTCTCAAGTTTTTTTTATTGCGCTAGTGTTTAGAACACTTTGCTTTAATGGGTGGCAGTTGTTCCCAGTAAGAGACAGTTCGGTGAGTGTTAGTTTCCTGTTGTTAAAGTTGCCCTTGTAGACACTCGGAGAAGTTTCTTAGTGCTCAAAACCTACAGCTGGCTGCCTCTAACACGTTGAGGTAACGTCACTGTCTGCGATGGTCAATCACCTCTGGCTGTTATTATCCTTATTTTCTGAAACTTGCTGCAGTGACGACCTGCATTTACACAGACATGTCGGTGGTTGTTGCACATTGCCAAGATGTTAACTACCTTACTTGCTATGAAGGAGTTCGTGGGTTCGATCTCGACCCTGACACTTGTATATTTGGGCATGTCTCTCTCCACGTGGTCGTGTGGAGTTTTTTCTGGGTCCGCTGGTTTCTGGGTCCGCTGGTTTCAACCACACTCACTGCAGCCAGACCATCAAAGGCGTGGCGTGTCCTCATAAAGCGGTGCCTTATACATTTCTGTATACATTGTGTATGACTTATTGAGGATGAGTCATAGTTATAGGATTTGTAACTGACTTTGTTGCCCTTTGTACGTGTGGACACATTTTCGACAACTTAGTGGAAATTTCCACGTTGCTTTTCGGCCTTGTGGGTGAGCAGTAAAATGATCCAGTTAAGGTTTTCTCCCAACTGACCTCATCGGTCATCGCCGAGGCTATTGTTCCGTTCAAACTGTGCCGAGTGTGCCGAACGTCGCCAACTTTGGGAAATCCCCGAGTGTGGGCAGCGAACTCTGTGCGTAGTCTATTGGGGGAAAAGAAAAAGGTTTTCGCATCAATTTGAGATTTTTTTTTTGAAACCGCGGAACCATTACGTAATCCAGTTGGGTTCGCGCTCTATCCTGTGAATACAGTGCGGGGTGGTTGGAGTGTGTACTGCTTCTTTCTTCTTTCGTATGGCTGCTGATGTATATGCAGAGCAACAACTACAATTTCACATTCAGGTGGTGAAGCCAAACAACCATGTCGGGAGCAGCGAAGTGTACCGCCGCGATATCTCCTGCGTATTTGTGGATCGGGCGTTGCGTCGTTACATTGCGGTATGGTCTATTCTGGATGACCACAGTCGCACACTGAAAAGAGTTTTTATTTTTCCTGTGCATCAGGTATCCGAATCTGCCATGGTTTGTGTTTGTACTACTGACCCACAGCACGTGTGCCATTTCCTCTAGGGTAGCCAGTTGTGTACGCTCTTGACAAAACCAAAATACATTTTAAATAATCTGTCGGTAGGATTCCTTCTGTCAGCATTGTGGGAAAAAAAAAACAACTGCAGGGGAGCCCTGTGGTTACGGGAGGAGGAGAAATAATGATAGTGTGTAGTGTTTAGTTTCGCAGTGTTTACGAGCTTAAGACATTATTCAAGCGGTATAATTCACACGTATTTGTGGTTGTACAGTTTGTGTGTGTGAGATTCTGGGTACCAATTTTTTTTATCAAATACAATTTAGATATTCTAAAGCATCGAAATGCTATTACAGTACATCTCAAGATCCTTTACAAATAACGCGGTGTACCTGTGTGGAGAAGACTGTCATTTAATTCTGTGCGGTTATTGTAGAGGGGAGGGATTGAGGTGTTAAAGCCGAGGGGGCTGAAAGGGAAGGAATATTGGGAAAGCAGTATTGTGATGTTCTCCGCTACCGTCTTGCCAACCAGGGATAGAGTACCAGCTTTGATGCACATGGGTAGCAAGTAGGTTCTGAACCAGTCCAGGGCCTTCCTCAAGGTTGACCGTGCCACATTTGAGTAGCTTATGTGGCATGCCAACAATAGCACAGGGGAAACAAAGTGTGTCAGTAATAGGTTCGGCCGCACCACCCCGACTTGGCCTGTTACGGTCTTAACAGGTGGTTACCAACAGCACTCGCCTCCACGTTCTCTTCGGGGAAGCAGGGCTACCCGAGTCTCTTTTACAGGCATACATAATGCAGTGGCCCGGGGTCCCGCCAATGGTGATGGCCTCACGACCCGACGATGCGGAGTAGTCCAGCTGTGCGTGCTTTACCAAGGGGATATTTTCTCCCGAGTCCACGCCTGAGTCCTGAGCAGCGCTTCTACAGCACTTCCGGCCGCGCGGGCACAACCTGGCGCAGTCGCCCCTCAAAGCCGGCGCGGCGTTTTGTGCCGGTCGTGTGAGGTCTCGCTTGCGCGCAAGACTACATACAGTACCGCGGCTTACACCCACCGCCATGTACACAGCTGCCTCGTGGTGCATAATGCACAGAGCTACCCGTAGCAGCGACTTTCGTGTCTGATGAAGCGTGTGTGTCCGTACGTGTGTCCGTGTGTGTGTGTGTGCGGTCGGCAAGTGTGGGGAAATCCACCAGTTTGTCCGTCTTTGTGTATGTGAAATGGGTTATAAATACAGTGCTGTTTGATGGAGAAATGGCTTCAAAATTGACCCCTTCCTTTGACCGCTTGCTTCAAATGAATTGCGCTTTGAGCGTCACCACTTTACAGACACCTTTAGACACAAACGACCTCCCTCTCCTCACTGTATTTGGGCTCCTCTTTGTCGCTCCACGTCTTTGAGAAGGAGAGGCCTCTCGGTTCTGGGTAGAGGGCCCTGTGCCTGTCGCTGCTGCCTGTCGAGAGGAAGGAAGCTTAATGGGCGTGTTCAGACGCGTCCTATTTTCTTTACGTAATTGAATGTGGCTCACGGCTGAGGTTATGCAGACACCCAGGCAATTGAGAAGTGGGGGGCCACTTACGTCCATATTGCCACAGCGTATCCATTAGGCATTGTACAATTCACTCCGCCAGCGGTTCGATTACTTTTCACGACTCGGGGTTGCGATTGTATTCAAGAATCGGTTTTTTGTCATGTTTTTTTCTCTCCCGAATTGTGTTGTTCTTGGTTTTACAGTTTTGTTCGCTTGTGCGCAAGTAAGAGCTCGTCGTTTGCATGTGATTACCGTCGCGTAAATCACCAGCAATCAATTCTCGCGTACGACTGGATGTATTATGCATCGTGAGCATAACGTAATGCTCAACGTTCGTGCCAGTTAAGTGCACGGCGCTCTCAGTTGCTGCACGCCACAGGCGCCCTTTCTGACGTTCGGCTTGTGGGCACCGCGGACAGGAGGTATCGTTCTACCGATCATCCTGAACACACGCAACAGCAGCCCCCCTTTCCGCCGTCACCACCAAACCTGTTCTCAAGTCCCGACCGCCAACGGTGCCAGTTTCAGCTGTCACTAGGCGGCCGAAAAGCCTCTCCTTCGCAGCTCGTTAAGGCGCACACCTGCCCCACCCTCAAAAGACAATACGGCGCAGTAAACATGATGAGCTGCGCAAGTATTATTACAATGCTGAAAAATGTGTTTGCTGTAATCATCGTTGTCGTCACGCGTGCGTGCGATGGCCACGCGAGGGGTTTGTTTTGAATAATATCAGCTCCACGTAAAAGCCTCGCTGTCGTTTTACACAGCATATTATAATCGAGGGCTTTTAATTAAAATTGAGGTTATGACCAATTAGCCCTTTTGGTATCTGTTGCTCGCATGCTGCACTTTGTAAAGTAGTAAACCCTCGTGATTAGGCTGTAAATGGTTATGGCGTTGCAATATTGTGCCTTTCAATGGGCGCTTTTGTCATTGCTTCAG